CAAACCCCAAACCCCAAACCCCAAGTATATTTCTTTATATAAATACCTATAAAGAATATAGCTATAAAGGCTAAATTTATATCTCTTTAAATTCCCTACTACTAGAAACCCTATATAAGAAACTATTCCTAAACATTTTCTATATTATAGAAAAATATTAATATTCTATAGAATATAGTCTTTATAAAAATATATATATTCTAGTAGAGAATTAGTATAGGATCGAAAGCGAATTCTAGAAGTCTATATAATAACTCCCTATAGAGAAGATAATATATACCTATATATTATTAGTCTTAAAGAAATATAATACTTATATAGCTACCCTTTTAAAAGAAATATAAAATATAGAATATATACCTTATTAGTTACCTCCTTTTTAAATTATTATATACTACCTTATCTTTTTTAATATATCTACTACTTTACTTTCTTTATTATAGAAACTCCTTAATATCTCCCTAATTCTTTATCCTTTTATCCTTTAATATTTCTATTTATATATAGATAAGGATATCTATATAGGGAGGGAGAGATAATTATAACGGATAAAGGTCTATATAAGAGGGAAATATATATAAACCTATATAGGCTTAGGAAGGAATATCTATATTATCATATATCTATTTTGATATCAATCTGTAAGGGGTTCGTCATATGAATATAGGCAGATAGATTTCCTTATAGTTTAGGACCCCCCAGGGGCCCCTCCGAGACTGGTAAGAATTAGTCTTGGCACCTTATCAATACATTGTATTCCCTCTACAAAGCCCTTTGTATCTTACCCGGTTGACAGGCCGTACACCTGCATAACGTATACCTTTACAATATGATAACATAGATATTCCTTCCCAAGCCTATATAGGTTTACATGTGTTTCCCTCTTATACGGACCTTTATCCGTTACATAGTGACCTTCTCCTATACCACATCCACAGCACACGACAATCCTGTACTGTTAAATTCGATCTCTCATCGAGAGAGCTCAGGAAGTGACAGTGGCTTTCCAGCAATACCCCGCCACATGAGTGGATTGAGCCAGACAACGAACGCGCGGTTGATAATGCCGCTGAGTGCCTCGGGCGGATATTTGCTGTAGGGTATATTCAAGATATTTTGTTTAGTGATCTCTTCAACCACCAGGAGTAGGACTTTGACTCCTAGAATAGAAGATAAGGTACCCATGCATGCCTTCGTTTCGTCTAACTCGGCGAGAAGTATAATGCGAGCGATGTCCGTGAGTGCCCACGCTGTCGTAAATAGTTGTCCGAAAGATGAAGCTCGAATCTCCCATATGTGGCTGGTCACCACTGCCAGTGAAAGGAATACCGAGCAGCAAAATTGCAGAGCTGCGGCACAGATGGCGAAACGTCGGGTGGCGCCGTGGAGCGAACCCAGTGTAGCGACTGTGATAAGGTATGCGATATACAAAAGCACCAAGAGAGTGCAAAGTATCTAACTAAAGAAAGGTTATCATACAGATCGCCGAAGCTCTCATGAGAGTCGGAAATACCGATTTCGCAAAGACTACACGTCCTTGGAGCGCGACCTTCTTGATCGGACGTTGCCACGGTCTCCGTATCGACCAGACTGAGAAGCCGACTATTCCAAAGCTCGACAGCGCTATAGTTAAGATATCATTACCGAATAATAGTTGCAAATCACCAACAGCACTCTGGCCGTGGAAGGATGGGATAGAATTGACGACATCTCTGGCGTAATGGCCAATATCTGCACGCATCGTGGGAAATTGACTCCCAAAAGGCGCTCAGCGAAGATTATTCGAGCCCTTGAATCAATCTTTCAACACCTTTAACTCCTGAAGTTGATGTTTAGGCATTCATGAAAGGGTGTCAGACGCCCCCGCTTGACCAAATCAGCCGCTGCTTAGGTGGTACCACCCCCCAGGCACGACAATTGTCATCCAAAGTTCTATTTTATCTTGATGTTCCTTAATATGGAGTTTATGGGATCCAAGTCCTGGGACAAACTTCTATTTTCAAACAGTCATCTACCCGACGCTAAAGCTTGACAAAGCCCTCGGGAAGCTCCTTATGTTCAAACCACGCCGCGGCAGTCTCTGCAAATAGCCGCGGATCCTGACGATTCCACGGATGTCGCATTTTCAAATGTGTATACGCGATAGTCTCTTCGTTCAGCTCTCTCCCGATCGCCATCAACTTCACAGCATCACCCGGGCTATCCTTTGTAGGCACTAACCCCCCTTTCCCCGCTGCAACAATCAGAGTGCGCGCAGGCCATGGTGATGGCCATTGTGTAGGATGCTCCGGTGATACAATCTGGCGACATAGGTCAAGTGTACCGAGATTGGTATCAATACGTGGGATATCGGCACCATCCATTGCCCAGCTGATAAGAGGCCGGCTAAGGCAGTTCTCCACACGCAGCATCACCCACACTGCGTATGGAATATACGGCGTAAGTGATGTTTGAGGGAACATTCTAAAACCAGAGATGAAGACAGAGTTCACCACATCTGGTTCGGTACAGGCCAGGCGGATAGCGACCTGAGCACCCAGACTGTGGCCAACAATGTGCGCTGAACCATTCGCGTGTATACGGATCAGCTGGGCAATCTGACGCGCTGCGAGATCCACTGAAAATGGCGCGCTGGCGGAATTGCCATGGCCTGGAAGATCTGGGACCAGGAGGCGATAAGACGTGAGGTGGGGGATCACAAGATCCCAGTAGAGACCAGATACCAAGGCGCCATGGATTAGTACGACGGTGGTCTGGCCGGCGTTGTGTGCAGTGTGGTACAGCTCGAGAGACATGGCGAAGTGATATGAGGACCAGTGGGGGGCCTCCAACTTCTCTCCGACGGTGTGTCTACCTTGGTGGTGCCACCTTATGTCCGTGCACGATCGCCGATCCCGCAAATCTCCCGAGATTCTTGGGGTTGGGAGTAAACAACCGGGGAAACCAGTTAGCCTCGAAAGCATTCGCGAATGGTTATGAAGTAACTTCTTACACCTGAGCAGCAGCTTATTTAAATATTTTAACCATGTAGGAGGTGATCAGTACGAGTACCCAGTGTAGTACGGACGATTTATTGTATGTTTTTTATATAGATCGTCATATTCATAAAAAAATCCACTCCAACGCTTGAGGATGAAAATAAGGTGTCAAACTAGACCGTAGGAGATGTCAAGCCACCTGCCTTGGCCAATTGCTTCGCCTCCTTCGCTTGTTTGGTGGCCTACTTTTCCTCTTTGCTGATTTTCGGCCAGTTGGCGTCCGGTCCAACAAGAATCTTGCTTGGGGTGGATCACATTGAAAATGACAAGGGCGAAGAACAAAGAGCTGGAATTCCAACTAAACTGGCAAGTCAGCGGATAAATTGGAGAGTCACGACTTTACTGGCCTGATAGTCTGCGATATGGTCGCGGAATTCTTGTTATGTTCCGAATGAATTGAAACAAGTCTGGCATTGCGGTGTTTTCACCCTTCGCTTCTTTCTCTGGCTTGGATCGACTGCAACAAAACGAGGATTCGGCATCGCGTTGGGTATGTGGAGAGCCGAAATGTGTACAAGCCTAGTTGGGAGGGTCATTGGGAGCTCTGGCCACTGTCGGGGTTTGCCACCCAACGAGTTTGGGTATCGGAACTAAAGGGCTATAAATATCCTCTTTCTTTCTTTAACCTTGACTTTTCTACGATAACTACAACATCCCCTGTTTTGCCCTTCCCCGTACAAGAATATCGCCACTTTCCCCTCTGCTTTTGAATCAACACGTCGGAAAAGAAAACATGCCTTGCACTGAATGCAATGATGTGGGAATGGTTAGTACATCTATATGCACCAAATGCAACGGTTATGGCGGAACCAAGAGAGTACCTTAAAATATTCCTGGGAAGAAAGACAGGAAGATATTCTCCGACCCCGTTGAGTTAGTATGTTTTTGGTTATTCCAAATATGTAGCTACTCCTCCGTGATTCAGATATTTACAATGCTAACTGACAGGTGGTAGTTTATGCCTCGAGCCTCCTGGAAATAGCAGAATAAGATGGATCTAAAGCTGAGTTTGTAACGGTCGCTATCTTACTGTGGATTCCCGTGCCGAAGAGACAATTGGCTGGTGCGGGGGAAAGCCACGTTGGGGACTATGAGACGAAGTCTCATGCATGCAGGCACAGTGTACGACCAAGAAACAAACGTCGTTCTCCACTGTTATTCTGCCAGTAATTTATTATTAATCACTGTATTCAATTGTTTTAATACGGTGTAGTGTCAGGGCCCCAGTACTAAGAAGGCTGATGCCTGAAGTATGGTACCTGTCATGGTGCGTGGGGGGACTGTGGACTGGATAGGAGCAACGCGTGTTGCTTACACAGCCTCTATGAATCATGTGACCCACAAACCTATATATTGTCCTCGCATACTGCTTCCCTAGAGAAGCAGCTATTAGTTCCAATATACCACTGCGTATACTACTGTCTCTGTTTCCCGATCCTCCATTACATACAGCATTCCCTTAGATATTCCATACCTAGGGGTCTCACACGGACCCCTCACGGATCGATATCGAAACAGATGTGTGATGACATAGATGTTCCTTCCCGAGCCTGTGCAGGTTTGCATGTGTTTCCCTCTTGTACGGACCTTTATCCGTTACAAGATAGGCGAAGTGTTTCCCTAGATATACTAAGATCTAAAATACCATAGATATTATGATAATTTAGATAGCGATACTTCAGAGATTGCTAAATCTATAGGATTACTTCGTTAAGGCACTCAGGGGTAAGCTTTGGAAGTCGGCCTATCTTCTTCTTCTACAGTATGGTTTGATTATAATACGTATATTGAGTTTACTGTATACTGCAATTTAAACGGGATATAATAGAGGGATACGTATAGCCTTTATCTCGAAGGATACGATAATGTAGGCGTTGATCGCAGGCAAGCTCTATCTGTTGAACCATGGTTGAGGGGTTGAAGAAGGAAGAAGTGGGTTTCGTAACGTATAGTAATAATAGGGGGCGGTATATAATTTAATAGATAGGCAGTGAGAAGGAACGACGTTTGTTTCTTGGTCGCCCTGGAATACAAAATAGGAAGTTTCTCGAAAGTTGATTAGTTACCAAATTTGGAAATAGCACAAAACTGGCCATAACTATATTAGGAAGTAAACCCAAGACTGTGCGCAAATGCATAATCATGGTCTGGCAGGGCGGTTGCCCAAAAGAGGGCAATGCAGACACCACACACAGCCCCATTGGCCAACCTCGGCATGAGCCAACAGTATCGTCTGATTGAGCGAGTGCTTTACCCCTCCATACATACATGCCATGCATACATGGAGCTGTGCATTGTGGTTGGTCTTGGCCTTCAGCCAATTAGACCTTTTCAGAGAAACTTGCAGTACAATTATTCCTAGACCTCCAAAGGGCGTACGGCTATCGAGGATCTTTGGCCCAGCCCTGATAGCCAGATCAACTAAGGCAGTTCAGTTTGCCTCGTGCACAGAGCCTCGGGACCACCGAATAACGCAATGACGCCCCTCCTATGATTGAGACCTCACACTGGGCTGATGGATGGTTCAAGGAAGATGACTAAACATGCTGTATACTTGAATTGCACCAAGCCTTCTTCCCAGATATTGAATTCTCACTGGCTGCTATTTGGTTCTTTCATCACATATGCTTAAGTCGTCAGTTAACATTGACATGCGCATGGAATACGAGCTTCTATTACCCAAGAGGGTTGGAGTCCAAAAGCAGACACCTAAAAAAGATTGACGCCGAGAATGACGTTATATTGCATTGCTAACCTTGATTGGCGTGGATATGCCATGCAGGTGAAACTTCCGTGCGGCGCAGGTTGCATTACACGGCGAGACGCACAACATGAAACCTCTAATGGTCTTCCTTTCCTTTGCCACCGTGAAATGCACTTGTTGGGATTTTGTCCCTGAAAGTAGGGATAGGGGACAACGCGATGTCAGTTGCCGTCGTATAATTTTTAGCTAAGCGCCCAGATAATTTCGGCCACTTGCATCAGCATCTAGATGTCTCGAAATCTAATTCAAGCACCAATCTAGACTGTGGCGACTATTGCACAATGGGCTTCCGCCGTAGGCGTTTCACCTGGGTATATATCAACAACGACTAATGATTGGCATTCATCATCCTCGAGTTGAAAAGGGCGCTAAAGTGATCAAAAATACGTTACTACAAACTTGCAGTAGAAAAGCATTGTTTCAATTTATTCGTTTTCTACTCACATGGCGTCCGAGGCCGAAAATCATACCGTCCTGTCGGTTCTCCAGGCTCAACCCCTTTCCTGTAGCTTTTCCAATCAAGTATTGCAGAGGGTGATGGCGGTGAAGATGGTTATTTATTTGCCGGACTTACCTATTGGTCGACAGTCACATGACTTTGTGCCGTGTACACCTCACTTCCCCCGACCTGACAGTTTCTTACTCCTACCTTCTTTTTACTTTTTACTTTTTAGTTTTTATTTTTTATTTTTTTTTCCCTTGCCGCAACTCCTCGATGGCCAACGATGGCACGGAAACAACCCATCTATGATATCGGTCCATTTAGATCAAGCACCAGAAACACAGACACGCAGTTGAATGTTTATGTCTCCAACAAACGCTTCAAGATCGATCTTTTTACTTCCAGCTTCGAAAGCTCGCCTGCCCTCCTGGCCGAATATCTTCGACACGTTCAACGTCAAGAACCAGAATGGATTCCTGATGAGTCTGAGATAGATGTGGAGGGGGAATTTGAAGACCCCCTTGATGAAATGCATGATTGGATCTTGCAACCATTTCTGCCAATCTTTCACGAAATTGCTCCCCTGGACCCGAACCAAAAGTACACTCTCGAGGATTGTCTGTTTGCAGAAGAATTGCACTACACTGTGCAGGTAGTTGGAGACAAATTAGTTCCCGTTTATCTCAGCAACACCAAGAACATGAGAAATCATCTCATCGGGGCATCTTTACCATCTTCTGTCGACTACTCAGCTTTTTCTGTCTACCACCCAAGGGAAGTCCAGGTTCCAATTAGTACAGATTCAGCTGCACTACCAGGAATACCTCATAAGGTATTTATTCATGGGCAACCACGGCCTAGCTTCTTCAAGATAGTCTATGGGGGTGACATGGGTATTACCGCAAGAGAGATTCTCACTTATTCAAAGATTCGCATGGCTAAATTCGATCCCCCAATTCTCACATCACAACTGGAAGGGCTGGTCCAAGATGATGATGGGTATATATTGGGATTGGCTTTATCATACATTAATTGTGATAGAGCTACACTCAATTGCATTGATGGACATGATCCCAAATTTTCCGAGCTCCGACAAAAATGGGTTGATCAAATTTCGCAGACACTTGAACACTTTCATTCACATAATATCATTTGGGGAGATGCGAAGGCAGCCAATGTGCTCATTGATGTCAATGAGGATGCATACCTGATTGATTTTGGAGGAGGCTATACTGAAGGTTGGGTTGAGAAGGAGAAGTCTAACTCGACCGAGGGAGATCTGCAGGGACTTGAAAATATTAAGCGGTACCTTTTTGAATGAATACTAGATGACTATCGTTCTGGGCTTATACTTTCTACTGTCCGCTGTTACACCCTCTGATAGGCTAAGGCAGCAATTTCCTTTACTCTCTTTATACATTAATCTGTGATTGGTTGCAATGCTTGGTCCTGTATGCATTCACTATGTTTGCATCTTGATTCTGTGTACGTTGTCTACCTCTGCCTAATTCCAGTTTCCCTGACTTTTCGACTTCTTTTTTCCCTTGTTTCCCTTTTTCCTTAGTCTTGATTAAGCTCTTTACTAAGAAATATGCAGTACTCTAGGAGTCCTGCAATGTGACATCTACTCACTATCTAGACATGGATGTGAGAGATTTTCATCCACATATGGAGGAGAAGAGGGGTCAATAAGTTGGATTACCTAACGGGTGAAAGTATTTTCGACTAAGCGCTGTCACAGGGCAAAGTTGGAGGGGAGGGAGAGTAGTGGGCGGCAATAAGCTAGATGACCTAAAGGTGAGCGCATTTTCTAGACCGAGTATAGTCAGATCTCGAGATATAATTATATCTAGTTTTAGTATCCTCGTTCGTCGAATATGATTTTTCTCTCTTTTATGTATATTTTACTGTATACAAGAAATCGAGGACCTCCCTCTGCTTTCTCCTAGCTTCTGAAAAGTGAGGCCCGGTACTTAGTGCTTTTTCATTTATTAGACTACAAAGTTGGCGGTTAATGTAACGTCACTAAAAACCTATAATTACTTCGAACATAGAGTGTCATGATTCGCATGATGTAAAACGCTACCATATTCTATAACGAACAACCTGACATGATGTAATTAGTGGAATTGACTAAGATAGTTTCAGACCTAAGCGCCAAAGGTTCGAAGCGGCAACCGCCATGTAGCCCCTCAGTGTCGCATTATCAAGCCAAAAATAGGACAATACTATAGGCATTTGGACATATAAGCAATAAGGAAGCTTCCAAGATCCTCTTCTTGATTAAAATACTCAACGAAGACATATTCAAAATATTCTTTATCCAATTCACATCGTTTCGGTCGACAAAAGCATTCTGCACGTATTTTTCTTTGGCTTTTATTAAAAACAATGTGTGGTCGCCAGTATCGAGTCTATCGTTGTGGACATCGAATTCTCCAACGAGGTATAACATATTGTCGTTATGCTAGAGTCAACCAAAGAACAGGGAGACAGACAATGTGTGGGCAGGAGAGAACTGTCACAGATGTTGCAGTGGATTCTCCATGTGGTGAAGCGTATTGCTTTGTCCAGGATCTAATCCGCATGGGCTGGGAATGCTGTGACTGCCACGGCAGGAATTATGGCCTCAGGGAATTTTGTGCAGGCATAGTTCTTGTTGGTGCCAATCGAAGCCCAGTGGAATGCCAACATTATGCTTGTCATCGATGCCACTATGCATAGAATGGTAATTATGCCACTGATCTAAATTCTATGGACCATTATGTTCTAGATGCGCAGTAGAATGGTATAAGCTAACTTTATTCAGGTGACGATTTTCGAACATGTCGAGCTGAGATATGTGGATTACTGGACCTGGAAGGACCCGACCATATTGTTGAAGCCTTTTTGCCAAGAGCTTGGAAGAGGCATCCAGATTTTGGGAAGATAGTCAAAAATGGGCGGCTTCGTCGAATCCAATTTTGTTGACATTGGGCATCGAAGTGGATTCAAACTGAGAGCAGGTGGGAATGAAATCCGAGGTCCTGGAGACTGGCTGGCTAAAAAACCTCGCCTTGTGATACTGAGAACCGTGGCCTGTCGCAGGAAACTGCTTGGCTGGCGAAAAAATGGATGATTGAATTCATTGTACTTAAAACAATTCTCCATATCTCGCTTCCCGTTGTCCACAGAAGGAACAAGCCATCCTCTTCCGAGAATCGAGTGTTGTTTCTATCCCAGCTATGACAACGGGTACGAAGGGGCATAGCGCGCAGGGTCGTTTTCACCATATTAGGGCCTTAATGGCTGAATTTTGCCTGGCAGAAAAGTAAGGACACCTGAATTACCATTACAGAGAGCTTAGTAATCTGCCAGCCTTACCCATGAGCATGAAGCATTTGGCACCATACAAATTCAATGATCCCGACTTTTTTAGGTGGTTTCCTGGCATTCTCATAAAGCATTTCATGTTACAAGCCAATTCGATTCAGAAGAAAAGAGTACAATTCCAACCAAATTCTAAGTATAAAGAAGAAAAGGAAAAAGAGAAACTATCTAAGTATATGTTCTTCCCTTCTTATCCTCTTACATTTATCTCGCTTAATTCTTATTCGACCTTTTAGGGAGGTCCAAGTAGATCAAAGCCCGTTTTGACCCGACCCGACCCGTCGCTGGGTCGGGCTTCGGGCCTGACTTCTCAGCCCAAGGTTGGGCCACGTTACTGAAGACTGAAACGTAGGGTATGGTTATTACTAAGGCGGCTGATTATAGAAGGTAGTAGAAACTTATTAGGATATCGCTTTAAGGATAACGTTCATTCAGCCAGGTAACTGGTAAAAGGAGTGGTAAAAGGCTGGTAAGGTAGATTTAGTAGTTACCCCCTCCCTAATATACTAGTTAACGCTACTCCCTACATCGGTCACTATATAAAGAGGGGACCCCTAAGGGGTACCGACAGCCCTACCTGCGAAATAGGTATAAGAGTAGAGTCGTTACTAGGAGTAGTAGGGTACTAGAGAGGAGAATACCATAGGGTGACTACTGAGAAGAGAGGTAGAAAGGTATCTACGTTACTATCTAGGCCTCGGGAGTGCTTTTATGTCATATAGCCGCTTAGTCATCCTGCTCTGGAAACCCCCACTGCACTATTTATGATACTATCGCAAGGCTATATATCGAGTCAATCACGTACAAACAGCTCCACTAGCCTCGAAGCTGAGTCCTCGAGCAGTTCTACCAGGTTACCCATCTCCACCAGCTCACCGTCATCAAAGACAGCGACGAGATCATACAAACCAACATGCTTCAACCGATGTATAACAGAAACAACCGTCGTTCCAGGTAGACCTCGATTAACAAGCCCATGGACCCTTTGATCGGTCGCAGAGTCGGCACTACCGTGGCAGGTTAGTTGAATTCAAAATTGGAGCGAACTGACTGTTCAAGGCGAACCTGGCTGTTGCCTTATCTAAAACTAAGATTTTACTGTTTTTGACTAACGCGCGCGCAAGGCAGAGTTGCTTCTTCTGGCCCCCGGAAAGAGATTCGGCGCTTGTATCGTCTTCTCTCCTGAATCGCTCTTTAACGGACTCCCATAGTTCGGCTTGTTCTAATGCTTCGATGACTTCTCTGTCGGAATGCTGATTTTCAAGGTCAACATTGAGTCAGATTGATCCTCCTAGGATCACTGCATCCTGAGGGACAATAGAAAGTGCCGAGCGAAGAAGTTTGTAGGGGACTCGAGTTATATCTTGTCTATCGATCGAGATGGTGCCGGATATCGGATCAAGCATGCGGAAGAGAGCCATGCACAACGTTGATTTTCCGCTTTGTGAAACCCTGATGTTAGTTCAAATTGTTTTGACATTCCCGCGGAAGCTGCTTACCTGCCACTTCGGCCACATATGACAATCTTATTTCCTGCCGGGATAGCAAGTGACAGGGATTTGACGGCGAGTGAACCAGAGCTGTTTTCAAGTTAGATATTAGCTGCGACTAAGTATTTCGAGCCAATATTATCCACTGACTCGTATCCCAGACATACTTACTGCATTTGAATGGCCCCTAGCTGGGGCCAGCCTAGCGACGGGCTAACAGGCTAGTCTGTGGACTCTTTCGGGGTTTCCTCGGAGAAAGGTTTCACACGCTCAACTGCGGCGAGACTATTCTGCAATATACACCACACATCAACCAATTCGGATAAGCTTGGTCCAAAGCTTTTCAGATTGATCAGCGCAACACCTAAAAAGCCACCCGAGAGGCCACAAGTGGCTGTTGTGACACCAACTAAGATCAACGCTAGACCGAGATTCACCAAATTTAGTACCAAACCCAGCCATTGCTGCGCACAGAGGAGGAGATAAAACGGCTTCTGTGATGCATCGAGTGCTATGGAAAGCCGTTGCTCAAATTCCTTCTGCATATCGAAGGCGCGAACCACATAGGGGCCGTTCAGCAGTTCAATGAACTCCGTGTACAACAGACTCTTGGCTTCGATATCAAAGAACCGTAATTGTCGTGACTTTCGAATAGATAGCCGTTGAGTGAGAATACAAAAGCCGCGGATGAAAGGGATGGCGGCACCAAGATGACGTGAAGACACAGCAATGATAACGAGTTGTGCCACGCAGGTTGTGAAGGCTAGAAATATTAGTAAGTCGCGTGGGCAGGTATTTGGAAGACACAAACTGACAGATAATAGTGTTGGCGAAGGCCATAGGCAATTCCATATCGATTAAAGCCATATCCTGACTAAATCTGTTCAAATGGTCAGAAAAAGCTGTTGATATTCAGCTTATCGGTTGAAAGACGAACCGGTTCACTGTGATTCCTGGATCTGTAGAAGTGAACACAGATGCGACGGCCCTGTGAAGATGTTAGCAAATCTGTTCACTAACAGCTTCCGAAAAGGATACCCACCGCTCAACAGTCTGGACCAGTTCCAAATGCAGAGACTTCGCTGAGTTCTTCACCATGTTGCAAAGCATGAGCCTGTTTAATGTCAGACTAAGGAGCGAGTTTGTGATGATTGAGACAAACCATGAAGCAGTAATCAGGGAGAAGACGGCCAGAAATCCAAAAACAGCGTATACCCCAATCCAATAGCCCAACCTGTTATTAGGGTGGTCTACATTAGAAGCAGTCCACCATTCAAGCCAAATTTCTGCAAGCGAATGAGATGAGTGATAATCATCGAATATCGACAGGTGATGACTCACGGGGGAACGAGGAGAAGAATACATAAGATACGACCAGAAAGACGGCGAGGCCCAATTTCCTGAAGCCCAAGGAGGCAAAGTGGTATTTGTATGCCCCCAGTTCACCTTTCCGGGGGTCGCGAGGGTCGGAAGCCGCGGTCTCAAACCTGGCTTCCAGGGCGAACGCGAATGGATTCTGGGATATGGAAATGGGCGCCTCAATAGGAAGCTTCCCTGGACCGATTGGCTTCTCTGAATTCTTCATAGCGTCGGCATGGGATTTTCGTTCGAGCACAGTGGTATCACCACCGAGAGTGATGATCTGGTCAAAGAGACTTGAGTTTTCCACTAATGTATTCTTGTTATTCTCGCATATTTGCGTCGGTTATTCTAAGTTCTTACCATTTTGTGTTGCAAGGATGGCTGTTGTACCCGTCTGCTTTATCAAGCCATCAACACCCAGCAAACGATCGAAAATATGCTGTATGGAGAGATTATCAATTCCCGAAAGGGAGTCATCAAGCAGAAGAAGTGGGCGACGCGAGTATATGGCGCGCGCCAACGACTAGCGGAATGTTAGCTGTGACTCTCAATGCAGCATTGAGGTATGCTAACAATTCTCTGCTTCTGCCCTCCACTCAGGCTCCTGCCTCCACTGCCGACCATTCCTTCGCTCAGCTTCTGGATGATTTCCTCCAATGCACAAGCATGAATTACGGTGTTGTACCAGGCTTCATTGTACGGCATGCCGGCGATGATGTTATTCCGAACAGTGTCGTTTCTGAGCCACGGTTGTTGTGAACAGTATGCGACACCGGTTCGTAGGTCAAATGCGGAGTTAACTTGGATAGAGTCAAGTGGACATGGAAGCTCTCTCAATAGGGCCTCAAAGAGAGTCGTCTTACCGCATCCAGAAGGTCCAACCACTGCTGTTAGTGTCTCGCACTTGATTTGGAGGTTGAGATCCTGCAATATTGGTTCGCTGTCTGTAGTGCGCCAGAACCTGCCGTCCACAATACGGATCAAGTCACGACCCAGAGTTATCGAGAATGACTCTCTGCTGCTACTATTGAATTCAATATAATTAGCACAAATTTCCGCTTATAAAAAGGGATGAAATTCCCATTGGTACGATACATACACTGGCCTCGGCTCAACTGACGGTATTTTCTCAACAGACGTGGTGGCAGTCCATCAAGTATCTGGTGTCATTTCGGGCATCGCGCTGGAGGAAATTCCCTATGCGTTCGAAGCAGGCAAGCATTGCAATTACGCCAGGTAGACTTTGAATCAGAATACTAAGCGGACTGCTCAGGAGATTGAAGATCGACAGCGCTGGGAACGCTGTCGCAGCCAAAAGTGTATTTCCATGATGTGAAGCCAGTGCAGTATATACTGCAAAGCCCACCATGGAGGAAAGGGTTGGTGTGGTGAATGCTTGAATGGAATCAGCTTTTTCATGAACATACAGAGCCCACACTGTGAGAGGAACATACAAAGGCCAGTTCCAACAGCCAGGAAGCGTCGCATGGTCAATGATACAACGAGCTCGGTTTCCCGTAGGCCCTGAAGCAGCGCGGAGGAATATTTGCTTAGACCAGACATCTTGATGCCTTTCATCGACGTGAGTATCTCAGTGGTAACGCTGAGACGCTTCTCCACGGCCTCGACCCAGCGCTTCTGTGCGTTACTGATGCTTTTACCGAATGTCTCAATGACAAGCATGCTACCTTTTACCTGTCAGCATGCTAATCTTTGAACTTTTCGAATATAACTTACAGACCGATACCACAATCGGAGCGATGGCTCTCCCGCTAAGCTGCCGTTTCAGAAGCCACAATGCCACACTGAATGTAAAGAGACTGACAAATGATTCGTGAACGTAATGCAAGCCTTGTATAATGCGCTCAACATCGGTACTCATCAGTGTGAGTGGTGCCATATCGGATTTCTGCAGTTCAAGGGATTTTCGGAAAATAAGAAGAACAAGAGTTCCTCGTATAGCGGTAATAAAGCGCACAATCTGGTATTGGCTATATGCCGTTGTGAGCTAGACATCGTTAGCAAATAAACTATAGTTTTATTCGGCAATCCAACGTCGCATAACTCACCGTAATTCCTAGGTAAACCAATCCGTACGCGACGAGGAGCCCCCATGCCACACTCTGAGGATACATATGTATTCTTGACTCTCAATTTGTCATAATTACACCCATAAACGGTCAAAAGTAACTGAATACCCCAGAAATCCCAAGTGATAAGATGAAATATAACCATGTGCGTTCGCTCCGGCATTCTGACTACAATCACATTACCTTCTCTTGCAACCCTTTTAACAACTGCACAACACGAGCCGGATCCTCCGTTTCAGCATGAATTTCATCCCACTGCAAATTATTAGCGATACACAGCCTTCCTGTATCAATAATTTTCATACCTGATTGAGCACCTTTGTCAAGACAGGAGATCCTGTCAAAGAATTCGTCACTTCAAAGTAATCCTTGTCGATATCAAACAACCTCGCCGTCAAATTCGGCACATATCTCCGGATCAGCCTCTGTGGATCCACATAGTTGCATGCAATGTGAGAGTACAAAAATTGGCGGAATGCAGGAATACTGTTGTGGTGGCCACGTACCGATCACATGCCGTTGCCTGGTTTGCCAGGCTTCACCTAGCTATTTAGCTAGATCTCAATCGTTTGTAGGAATCTAACCTTCTACATATCTCTCTCACCGCTCCAAGAAATACCATCCTTCATGAAACTGGAATGGAAGGAACGTCTATTCCAGCAAAAGGGTTGGTAGCTTTGCCACGGGGAAGATCCTCGGCACTGAGGGGAGATTTCGGAATAGATGGTAGAATTTGGGCCACGGCTTGTTGGACGCCTTTAAGGAGTGATGATTTGTCGTGACCGATCTTGAATGTTGGGGGTTGTCGGAACAGCGAGTCTAGAAGTTTGGTGAGACAAAGGAGAGCGCGGACCTGTTTGGTATTAGTATTAGAGCTGCATGATGCTACATGGGAGGATACGAACATCGCCAGCGCAGACGTATTGTTGATCTGATCTGAATGTATAAGACGTTGTATTATGGTCTATTTCCGGGAATATTTGTGCTGCTTTCAACTTCGACTCTCCGGGACTTTTGGGCGCTAGGTACCGAAGTGCCCTGTAATTATACCGCAGTTTGCGTCCGAGAATACCACCAAAGCGAACGGTGAGACTTTTAGGATTTTTGATGACGATTTCAGAGATGCGGAATCCTGTAAGAGAGCGTTAGTCGCGAATTCAGTGATGCCCGACGACTACATACCGTATGTGTTGAGGAAATAGGTGTCTGCACGGTCCCACAACTTTCGAGATACCGTGCTTGATTGGTAAAGATCCATTCCCATTCCTTTTTGCTGGCTGCCTTGGTCTGACGGACAAAACAACATGGGACATACATAGTCACCGGGAGCTTATCACGAAATCATACCAAGCTCTTTGGTAACAACATCGTACCCGACTCGACTATTTAGTAGTGCTCGACAATAAGGTCTCCATATGCCACCTCAACCCGGAAATATCATCATGGGTAAAATCATCAAGCGCATTCCCTACAAAGGGGTTCTGATTGAGTTGAAAAATATTGTCTTGCATTCCTCAATGCAGAACATAGAACTTCCCACAAATACTCTCAAGTCTATTCTATACTGTGGAGCAACAGTGGAATACCAATGTGGTCGCATCACCGAAGAGCAATACTTTGCGCGACTGGCGTCCGACTTTCGCCATCCTCAGGAGGAGATAAAGAAAGCTATCCTTGCTGTACGAAAATCACTATGTGTGAACCCCAAAGTCGTGGAGGCATTGGCTTCAATGAAGGCCAAGTCTAAAGGTCTCTTCGAGCTATATGCGGTTACAAATTTTTCCAAAGAGGACTACGCCTTGGTAAAGTTTCTTGGGTTTGATTGGTCTTTGTTCGAACGTGTTTTTGTGTCAAGTGATATCGGCATGCAGAAGCCTGAATTGCGATTTTATCAACATGTCCTAAATCAGATAGGATTGAGCTCGGAGCAGGTCATCTTGGTAGATGATGACACGAGTAACTTACTTGCTGCAATGTCTATGGGGATGCAGGGCGTTATGCCATCAGATTATTCGCTGTACCGCAGCATTTTGAATTTTGTCGACATTGACCCTATTGGGCGAGGTACGCGATATCTCCATGAGAATGCTCAAAAACACCATTCCTTCACCCATACCGGCGTACCAGTGAAGGAAAACTTCACGCAACTGCTCATACTTGAGCTCACTGGCGACAGGTTTGTCAAAGCCCGGAAAATAATTTATTCAATTAGCTGATCCAGAACAGAAGCTTGATTGATATTGGAAGCCATCGGACCACATGGAACCTTTTTATCGGTATGAAAGTGATCATTGCCCGTCTGCATATCTGTTAACACAGACTGACCAGAGTAGTTACACCTGTTCTTACCCAAGCTGACTTCCCCGATGATATGGACACGACATCACTCGGTATTACAATTTTGAATCGGCCCACTCACGTTGCCAATCTTGTGATGGACAAGATGCTTCAGTATCGAACATCTGATGGTCTGATGCAGGTATGAGCTTCACCAGTGGAGAAAACTGTGAGCTCTTTGAAAAACTGACATCTTCCACCCGCGGGCCGCCAGACCTTCTTCACTGACTTCAAGAAGCGTGTGGACCCAATCGTGTGTTGCAATATTTTGAATATTTTCTACCAGTATGGCTGGGGTAATGAGCTCTCTGAGACCTTTGATTGGGTTTACCAAGTCCTCCAAACACGGACTTACATCCACGGATCCGCCTTCTATCCACTCCCTGAGGCATTCTTCTTCTTCCTATCGCGCATGATGTTACGCCTTAAGAATCATCGGCCTTGTGTCTATATTCGAATGCGAGGATTGCTTATTAAGCGGCTGGAGGAACGTCTTAGTGTACCAGTGGATGCGGCAAGTCTCGCCATGCGACTGATTGTTTGCCACCAAGTTGGAGTTCGTCATGTTTCAGGGCTTAAATTCCTACTATCGATGCAAGAACCAGATGGTGGATGGGAGATAGGAACTCTATATCAGTATTATTCTAAGAGGCTATGGCTAGGAAACCGAGGTACTTCTACTGCACTCGCGCTTGATGCCATTCGTCGCTGTCAGCCCTGGTTAGCACATAGGTTCTAAGAGAATTTATCTGAAGGGGTTAGTATCAATTTTATTTGCTACATTATTAATGTGACGTGACAGTTCTTTCAAATATAAAATAACTACTAAGATAGGGAGAGGATGAAGAAGCAAGTTGCAAACTAGAAGGCAGCCTGTTGATATAGCTCCCTTTGCAAAAATTCCAGAAATTCCATTCCACTAAGCCCCTTCCCACTAATAGTGCTATACAAGAATGAAGATGGCCCTAAGTACTACAGTATCTCGGAGAAGACACATTCCTTGATAATCACGAGGATAGCATTTCAACTTCATATCGATGCGGTGAAAATGTGACATAAATACATGAGTACAGTGAATCATTGAATATTTATTCCAGGTTCAAGGATAAACAAGAACATCAATCACCAGCCGAAAGGGGCCAGGTGAAAGATAATGTTGACGTCAGTCTCTTTTGAGGATTCTGCAAAGGAAAGGCGTATGTCGTGTGCCATTGTATCCGGTCCACAGCCGATCAGTGCAATCTGTTGCTCCGGGTAAGAATTGAAGCTTTCAACTTGGCTTCTAATCACATCGCGGATGATTGGCCTTCCGTGAATGAGATTTGTTTTTAGAGGCCCAAACGCTGACTGGTTATGCACCTCTTCAGAAGCCACTTTTTCCTCCGAGGCATGAAAGTTCATTGAACACACCGGCGATACAACTGCTCGTATTTTCTTTTTTGTCGCACTGTGTCCGGTTTGAGATTCTGGCATCGGCAATTCAACTTGTTGATCCGCCTTGGAAGGGCTTGTCAGGTACACGTCCAGTGAGATTTCAATATATGTTGATGCGAAGACCACTTCCCACGTTGATATATAGCGCTCATAGACGAACCGATAAAGCTCGATGTTCTTTATGGCCCATATTATCTTCAAGCACTTGATCTTTTGATCCACGTGCTTGCCAAGCCGCACGAAATCTACCAGCTGTTGGATGAAAGACGTTGCGATCGTGATACCCGCGCCACCAATGACAAAAACGGCCATTTCAGAATTCCACGGATCGAAATGTGGACCATAAGGACCTTCAACAGCCAGGTGAACCTTTCTCACAGAGGATGAAGAGTCGATCCCGGACTCATCTTGACGAAGCAGCTGTTTGCGAAGCCTGGATGTGAAGCCTCCGTGGACTCCAATAAGAAATACGAGTTCTGTGTAAGATTCTTCTTCCGTATTGACCGTAGTCCACCCGCTAAGTGTAAATGGGTGACTTTCCCAAAAATAAAGAGACCGCCACCCATACACATAGAAGTAACTTCCAGGTTGAGGAGCAACAACTCGTCGTATGCGGGCCTTTACCTGAATGAGATCTGCGTCACTGTTGTATTCTCCAGAGGAGTGTGAAGTTGGCTTGTTCCAGATCAATAGACGAAACACCCTTCCCAGTCTATCAAATGACCAAACAGCAATACAAGGCCAAAGGTATGGGACATGATCTGGGCCATCGACAGTTAGATGGCTGGAAATTCCGTTAGTCAAGCATGTTCCTAAAAGTTGATGCTGAAAGGAACTCACTACCACAACGCAGCAAGAATAAGAACAGCAAAAGCCTGGTGAACTATCAAAAATAATTCATAGGCTGCCCTTCGGATTCCCGAGCTTGCTAAAAGGCACGTCACGATAATCGAGAGAGCTGCCTGTGAGAGCGTATTAGCTAAGGCAGAGAATACACGGAATTTTTGACTTACAACAACTCCCATATAGAAGTCACGCTCTTTCCAGAGAGGCAAGAAAAACTCCTTTCCAACCTCTTCATTCTCAAACTTTGTCAACTTCAATCCAACTCGGGAATATTTTCTCAAAGGCCTCCAGCGAAAAGAATGCGAATAGACACACCTTGATATTGATAGATACAAACCCCCATCCCATGGACAAATACCTCTATAGCACAAGCTCTTCCAATCCAACGGTGAAAGGTATTAAAGGTCCCAAATTCCCAGGATGTTGCCCACAAAAGACAATTGTTTCTTGTGGAAAAGAGCCACATGACTGGTAAATTGCTGATCGCCATGACCGCCGCCCTATCTGCTATATAACGCCAAAGCTGTGAGGACTTTCGGGTGAAGCTATGGGAAGGGAGGTCAGTCAACTCATTATCCGGTTGGCCAATCAGGAGGAGGATAAAATCTGGTCTCACTAAAGATTATTTTCGAAAGCACGGTATTCCACACACATGAGGATTATGTTGATCACGAAGAAGGCCGAGATAGTCATGGCTTGTAGTCTTGATGTAGAAGGAATACCGCAAAAGCGCGTGAATGGACTTTTCTTCAAGATCGGTGGCACGACTACCAGTCGGCGAACGGAGCTTTCGAATCTTGTCATTGTTCTCGAGCGCAGCACAGACAAATTGTTTAAATATCGGAAAAGATTGTCAAGGGCACCAAAAAGTACTATCAATCCCCAGAATCCAATTGTAGCATATCTATGAGGAAGGTATGTGCGTAAGTAATTGTGAAAACCAAGGGAGTGGGTGGATCTATGAGTTACCCGTAGTTCGTTCGCCGCGTAGTTTGATCATCCCAGTCGAACTAGACACCAGTTAATCATCAATCAGATCCAGTGATATAGTATAACTCACATTTGTCTGATACGCAAGTTGGAAGAGGCTCTGATCCACAGAAACTGAGGTGTTAAAGGTAGAGCCAAGTTGGATATCCTCATAGGTCAAGATAGGCCAAGATTTTGTCTCCGCGTCCGTCACATCGTCAATGATAGACCATGGAAGAAGCTCAACTCCTCCATCTTGTTCACACACCTGATTGAGATCATTCCATCCTTTTGCAATTTCGTCTTCTGGGCAGTAGTCTCGCATACAAATGAATGTTGCCTTCACTTGGAGGGAGTTTTGGCACAAAGCTGAATAATAGTCCTCAAGGATGCTGATGCCTGAAAATTCGTTGTTGGAAACCGCAGTCTGACAGCCAGTCGCACATAGAGCGCTTGCTGTTACCAACGTGGCTTGCCACAGGCTGACTACCAGGAAGAAGGGGCTCATAGTGGTATATTGAACCCTTGGTTCTTGACTGAAGAGGGTTATGCTCAGAAAAGGATACGAATCTTCTTATACCAAGATGGGAGGAACTTATCTACTGCGCTCATATTCTCATGGAAATCGCGCAAAATGAGCCAAGAGAGGCCAAGAAAAGCCTGAAAGTCCTGCATAGTACAGATCGACAGATCTAAATCACTGTTCGGGTAAGACAAAGCTAGTTTCCCCTATCAGATCCGTTGATAATCAAAGACATGTGGGGGAATTTTTCTGCATAGCCTCATTGCGGTGGGGAATAGACTGAAGACACCACTATAGAAGTCTGGCAGGGTCTTCTGCTTTTTCCTAATTCGTTCGAAAGTTCTGCCATATGTCCCAGTGGCAATAGTATTCCAGACTTACTTATTGGATGCCATCAGCTTTATCAGATTAGATGGAATCTGATAAAGAGAAGACTGAAGAACTTTACACTCTCAGCTTGTAAGATTCGTCCATAATACTCCGTACCAATTATAGTCAATAGGAATCAGTGTTCGGTCACACGTAAGATTCCGAGCCATACCTCTTTAGTCTTGGCATCTTGGCGTCTGCCCGTCCAGGGGATCGTTGGTGAATTGTTCCTGGTCCTTGGCAGTTTGAGTGAACATAACAATACTCCTTCGTACAATACGAAGCAACTTGATTACAATTTTCTTAATTCAAGAGAAAAGGCGGAGAAAGGGGGATGATCAGGAAACAGAAGGATAAAAAAATCTCTTTCGGCCAAGATTCGCGTGGAAGGAGAAGATTTCCGTTGGCTTGGCCAACTAATCTGATCCGAAACTATGATTGATTTGACACTCGCATGCCGCCAAGTCCTTCGCAGGATCCACGTTCTTATGGTCTTAGTCGATCTAGTCACCATTGGAGAATTCAACCGATACTACTCCGTATAGTGTAAAGAACTGCCAACCCTGTAACTGGCTTAGTCACCCATTACATATCATTAACTAACCTAGTTAACTAACTAGTTAGCTCATCCACTGCTTAGGGGCTTAGTATGACGATCTAGGAAGGATCGTACCTACCAAACAGGCAGGAACGACCACGCCCTCGGCCTCGCACCTTCCTAGAATGACAAACGAGATTAAGCGAGACAATTGCGAGTTTTGCATCGAATGCAAACGGAAGGACGTCAAAGGGGAAGAACACGCACACAGATAGTTTCTCTTTTCCTTTCCTTCTTTGTACTTAGATTCTGGTTTGAATTGCACTCTTTTCTTCTGAATCGAATTGGCACGTAACACTTAGACTTGCCGAGAGACCCGAGTACTTCAGCATTTTTTACTGCAATTCTTCTTGTTGTGATATGAGGGTGCAGTTATTATCCCCTCTGGTACAAAGAAATAAATTCTTACCCCTGAACTACAATACCGTAGACTAGCCCCTCCGGACCACTGTAGTGATGTGCCCAGGTATGCAATATGCTTACTTGCACTTTTGGCATCAAAACAACAATCGAGGAAAAATGGCCACTCCACTCCGAAAAAAAATCCATCGAGAGAGCGGGATCCCAGATTCGGGCCAGTGGATGCGGTAAGTCTCGCCATGCGACTGATTGTTTGCCACCAAGTTGGGGTTCGTCATATTTCAGGGCTGAAAGTCTTACTATCGATACAAGAGCCAGATGATGGATGGTGGATGGTGGATGGTGGATGGGAGATGGGAACTCTGTATCAGTATTATTCTAAGAGACTGTGGCTGGGAACCGAGGTATTTCTACTGCACTCGCGCTTGATGCCATTCGTCGCTATCAGCCTTAGTTAGCATAGTTATAGGTTCTAAGAGGATTTTTCTAAAGGGGGTTAGAATGAATTTTATTTGCTAGATTACCAATATGACGTGCCAGGTTTTTCGAAGATAGAAGATTGCGTTCAATATATAATAACTAAGATGGGGGGAGAAAAAAGAAGCAAGTTGCAAGGTAGGAGGTGGGAGGCAGCCTGTTGATATAGCTGTCCCTTTGCAAACATTGTACACCTCTAATATCTCGCTTAGCTATCTAGCAAACAATCTATATCATAGAAACTGGTAAACAATGCAAACAATAAGTAAGCAAGCAAACGAGCAAGTAAGCAAACAAACAAACTTGAAGTAGATGATAGCGATCTGTAGTGGATTGTGACAGTCACGACTATGAGGAACTGATTCCTAAGGCTGTAGAGCCCCCGATTGGCCAAGTATTGCCATTATTGCCGAGAATGAGTTGGCTTTTTCCTTATGTTGACAATAATGAATTACTGAATCCCTCTGTACCATTAGTAAATGGATAAATGAATGCGTGTCATCAGAAGTGACCTATCCATGGTCTCATTTACAGAGGCCACGCATTAACCAAAGATCAAAAAGCAGCTTAGCGGACGCTCTTTCTTCTGGGAGCCAACATAGCATTCGCCGAAGAAAACGTAAAAATTCCTCTTTTGCATCATCTTTGAGTCTCTCTTCTAGCGCCTCGAGGTTGAAATCTGACAATGGATCTGCACTTTCCAATTACCTGATACAATTATTAAATTTGGCAAATATGATTTGAATCATTCTTAGGGGATAGCCGCACAAACCTTTTTCATCCCAAAACTGGTGGCTCCTTTCGCTCCGACCGAGGAGTTTGAGAGGAGGGCTTCCCAGGACTGCCTGCATTTCGGCAAGAGGATACCCATCATCAAGTTCAGCGGGATTTCGAGCCCTTCAAATGTGGCGATGCTCAAAAAGATCCTAGATCTGAGCTAATGTCAGTTTTCACGGTGACCGCAAGTGACTGCATAGGTTGTTATCCTACCAACATGCCAACACACTCCAGATGTCAACTTTGTGGTCCCAAGTCATAATGACCCGGAAGTATCACTGCCTGATCTGTAAAGTTTACAATGACTCGGTTACGGCCCTTAATATCTCTACAAACAAGTGTAGCAAGTTTTCCGGGGACTAATAGACTACGGCGGGATACTTCACTACGTGTTTCGTCTGAAATTGACGACTATAATCTATCCGGATTTGCAGTTGTGAGGGAAAAGCAGCTCTTCAATAACGTTACTAAAAAGATAGGGGTAATTGCATCCTCACGGGGACGATGAGCAGATGATCATTGATCACTAAGGGCGCATAGATCAGTCGGGACCAAACCAATTTTACACCCGGTTTCAATATGAGAAACGGCAGAATTACATCTTGATGTGTTAGCGACTATAAATCTCCTAGATGAGGATTGTAGTCGCATTGAGCATCGGCGCATATTCAGTACAACTGAAAACTTCTAGGAGATTAAGGGTCTAGCAAGCTATTGAACTTGAGAATACATCATTTGATATGCCTCCTAACAAGGAAGTTTTCTTTTCACGCTTTTCAAATCGAAGTTGAGGCTATCCCCGAAAGTTGTTAATGCGGGCTGTCTTCGTTCTGGTCGAAGTACTCCCGCGCCCACGGGCTTCGTAGGCGAATGGCTCTTCCCCTGTAGAAGAAAAGGAATGGAATTGGCACAAGAAGAATGGAGATGAATCCCAAGAGAGAGGAAGCCCATTCATAGTCCAATTTCTCATACATCTGAGCGGCGAACAATGGGAATCCGGCGCCGACAAAATTGCGCGCCAGAATGACACCAGCAAGAGCCGAAGCTGAGTACGTCTGGTAACTATCCACAACGTAGTTCAGAATGCTCAGAATCACAACATAAATTCCGGCGCCAAATAATGACGAGGCAATGATTGGGACAACCCAATGGACCGACCGATAGCTTGTCCACCCAAACCAAAATAGACTGATGGGAATGAGAATCGCACCCCCACGGGCCATCCACATCCGCGCCTCTGGAACGCCGTTGCCGCCGTTCTCGGCAACCCGGCGCAGATAGTATCGTTCTTGTAGTGGGTAGAAACAGAATGCAATCAACGGTCCAATCGCCAGTCCCAAGAAGGCAAGTCCCTGTTGGCCGGTATTGAATGGGTGCCCTTTCGGAGCGCCGAAAACCAGAGGGATCGCCTCGTTGAAAAGATATACCAATCCATACAGAAAGCCATTATAGATTGCCGAAAACAGCGTGATGGGCTCTGAAAAAAGAAATCGGAATGGACGAGTGAGGGTAATAGCGAATAGTTCGTAAAGCCCTTTTCTGCTATTCGCATGCATATCGGTGGTAGATTCTGCGGATTGAAGATTCTCTTTCTTCATCTGCTTGCGTGCGCGTTTGGTCTTCCTCTTAAGCACTGTGGTGTGTCGTGTCTCGGGAATTGTGGTTACCAACAAGACCCAAATGCCGCCCGTCATGGCCATCAAAACCCAAAATATCCACCGCCAGCCGAGGTTAAGTCCAATATAACCGGTGATCACCAACGCCATAGGAGGCCCAAACGTACTACTCAGCCCGTAGACGGCCATGGGCCCTCCGCTCTCGTTCCGTTCCCAGAGGTCGCTGATACTACCTCCAATGTTTGTCAGGGGCGCACCTCCGGCACAGCCTGCAATGAATCGACATGCCAGAACAGTACCGATGTTTGGGGCCATAGCCAGCGGAAGCTGGAAAATGAACAAACCAAACCATGATACAGCGTAAACCGGCTGCCGACCAAAGTATTCGGAGAGTGGGGCGAGAAGGACGGGGCCGATTGCGTATCCAAGAATATATAGAGATAAACATAAAGTAGTGACCTCAGCCGATACCCCAAACTCTTTTTGTATTCCGGCAGCACCGGAGGAAATGCCCCCTGCGCACCATGTGCTGTATGGGACGAGTGAGATAAGCCTCGACTGGGAAGGAGTGATAAGTGTACGTACGTGAAAACATTGAGCATGCTCACCACACAGGTGATATACCATTTGCGCCATTTTGGCCAGTTCCGGGGGTTATCTGGGTCACTGGCGGCGTATATTATCTGAATCGGTAGCGCGTCATTAGGACTGCTCCGTGCTTTTTCAAGGGCTTCTTCCTCCGACAAAAGCAATGCCCGGCTTTGACGACAGGCATCGGTATTTTTCTC